TGGAGAAACGCTATCCGGGCAAATGGAGCCCATCAATGCTTGCAGACTATTGCTGGACAGTGACAAGAGATGCTCCATTTAATGAATACAAGAGACAAGCCAAGAAGCGCCGAGTAGACACTGAATAGGACTAAACTATGTACAGAATAGTTTTTTGCCTTTTTGTTTCATAATAAATTTTATTTCTATAACCCTTTTGCTGATTTTTAAAGTGTTACATAAACAGGACAGGTGAAATATCATGTAAAGCAACCATAAACACATGAAAAGACCTAGGTTTACAATTTATGATTAAAACTCTATCTACACAATATACATAGACATAAAATGTAAAAACTTAAATATCTTAGAAACAGTAGCCAATCAGTTGTTTTAATTGTCATATTTGAATTCAGCACATCAAAATACATAATAAATAGCACATTTTATCTCTGAAGCAGACGACTTCTCAAATTGTAGACCAGTGTAATCACTTGAGCGATGATGATACATTCTGTAATTCAGAATTTATCTACATGCTACATTGCTTACTGTTTATATCTAGGACAGCCACCTGCTTTGTGCTTCCCAGAACATGAAGTTAAAAATATTGTCCTCAAATAAAAACATGAGGCTCTAGTGGAATAACAAAACTGCAAATTGCATCACTCTTGATCATTATTTATCTTCCAGAAGGTTTGGATTCTGTTCCCCACTTAAAGGAGACTTGTCCAGTTTGGGTTTATACACCTATTCTGGGAATAATATCCGCTGTATATTACTTTAAACTAGATATCTCTAAGCTTCAATATAAAAGAAAAATTAAAAATCTAATTTCTGAGTGTCCCTAGTCTTCTGGGTCTTTTAGCCATCCATCTTTTTGGATCAAACATATGTAAGAGAATTATTTCTATTGTCCTCAAGAGTGCATGAGAAGTCTGTAAAAGGAATATAGCCTACCCTTCCCTCCTTTCAACCTGACACTTAAGGCTAGAGGAGTGATAGCTCCTGCCTCCTCAGCTGGCTACTCTAGGCCCCTCCATATTTTCCCTAGAGGTTGTTACTTCCAGCTTCTCCCCAATCTAACCCTGCTAGTGTATTAGCAAAGTAGTGTCACTGGCAAGGAATCTGAGAAGCAGCTTGTAATTTGGAAAGGAGGAGTCTAGAGTCAGAACAAGCTCTGTGAAAGTTTGCAAGTTAAATTACCTTGCATGGATTGTTAGTGACACAAGATCATCCCTTTCTGAACTACTTCTCAGACTTCTTGCCGCTACTTTGCTAAAACACAATCATACTTGATTAGATTCTGGAAATATGCAACTGGGCTGCACTATTGCCTTTGGTTTATTTAAAAAATATTATATAGTTTTATTACAACAACTGAATTAATCATGCAAGAAAGTTCTTCAAATATGACAGTGTTTTTAAAAAAAAAAAAAAAAGTGCTTATCAAATTGGGAAACCAGAGTGCCATTCAACTATGTTGTCAACCTGGAAAGGCACACTCAAAGACACCACCAAGAGAAGTATGCTGCATTTGCTTTAGAAAAAAAATTACAAAATACAAATCATAAATGATGACAACATGCATGCAATTCTGGTGAACCCACATCAAGAAGTCTACTATAACACAAGGTATTTTGGACTCCGTGTTCACAACTAAGGCAACGACAATAACTTTTGTTGAACCTGCCTTACTGGATGCTTGCCTAGAATTAATCACTGTAAATGGAAGACCATGTAAGCTAATGGAGAAGTCAGGATTTTGCAAAATTGTTGACTGCTTACTGGAAGGCCTGGGGACAAAACTGAATGCTGAAAGTATACGAGACAAAATTGCCACTTTGGTAGCTACCATTCAGGAGGGGATCAAAAAAGAAATCGAGGGATGACTAATTTCATTGAAAGTGGATTGTGCCACACAATTTGATCCCTTTTAGGGATTAACGTTTGATATATTATTGCAGGACAATTTGTTCTTCCGACTCCAGCATTTAAAGAGATCAAAGAAAGACACACTTCTGAATATTTAAAAATCTGATTGTTAAAGTGGGTTGGTATGTATGAAATCACCCAAGCCATTCATTTTATTTATGTATATTATATTAAAAAAAAAATATGGGTGCGTGGGTGTGCGCAGTATTACAGATAATGGAGCAAACATAGTGAAACCGGTGAAGATAATGATTGAGGCCAGGAAACTGAAAAAGCAGAACAACAAATTCTGAATGAAAAGCAAACAGAGTTTACTCTTTTAGGAAGATGTTCAAGAAGAAGATCTGGACCAGATCAGAATGATTTGATTCATGTGGTTGAAGAAGCTGTATTTAATATATCTGCTGAGGCCATGGGTGTAACATTGAAGGGAGTTTACTGTTCTGCCCATACACTGCAGCTTGCAGTTGAAGACTAATTGAAGGGAATGTACAATCTGGCCTAATTCATAAAGCTCAATATGTCTGTGTTTAAAAAACAAACAAACAAAAAATCTGAGGAACCAGGCGATGATGCTCGTGCCTGTTGCCATAACTGCAGATTCTCCATATGTAGATTGGCGCTTCTGGAGTAACGCCTCAAGCACAGACTGGTGGGATCACATAATCATGTGGACCTGGGATGACCTGCAGTGGCTCCCAGAACTTTTGTATGAAGAAGTAGACATTCTGGTAATCAGCTTGCCATGACCCTTCAGCGTCCAAACATATGCATGAGGAGGCCATGTGAGCTCAGAAATGGGTCTCTTTAGCCACCAGAGAGAAGCCTCCCCAGCCTGTTACAGGTCTGTGACTAACCAGTTAGGTGTTGGCAAGTCAACAGATAGGGTGATGGTTGTGGAGGCTTGTGAGGCAATCATGACTGTGATTTACCTAAACAGGATGGGCGTTAACAATGTTCCTGAAATAATTGCTGGCTTTGAGAGAATGGGCTTCCCAGACTGACCTGGGGCTATTGAGGGGACTTATGTGCCCAGAATTTCCCCTCTGCAAGGAACACATAAGTACATAAACCACAAGTTATACTACTCCATCATTTTGCAGGCCCTGGACAACCAGAGGGGCAAGGTCATAGACACCAGCATAGGATGTACTAACAAGATGCATGATGCCAGTGTTTTCCGGAGATTGAGACTACCTTCATGGACAAGCTGGGACATAGTTCCTACCAAATGACATTGTTATAAATGGAGTAACTGTCCCCACTTTATTCTAGTGGACCCTGCTTTACCCCCTTTTGCCATAGTTTATATATCCGTAACCTGATTGCAGAAGGCCTGGCAAAAAGAAGGTTCAATTACCTGTTCAGTAGCTGTAAAATGGTGGTGGAATGTGGGATTAGTAGATTGAAATCAAGATGGCGTTGCCTTCAGAACTGTTTGGATGCCAATGTTGTCAATGTTGTTCACATTATTGTGGCCTGCTGAGCACTGCTCAATGTCTGCTAGGCCAAAGCTGAGCCATTTCACCAGGAATGGATCCAAGACACTGCTGGTCCCTGTCATTACTGGAACAGTATTCATGTGCACAACAGAACTCAGAGATGCTTTGTGTGCCCACAGAATGGGTTTGTATGGTGCCTTGGATGATGTAGAATGACATAGTATTTATAATTGTGCCACATTCATCTCACAATTTCTAGGACTGAGGTAGTTCAAGAAGATTATACTCTCTGTGTGTGTGTGTGTGTGTGTGTGTGTGCCACCATTACTTATAGACTAGGGACAATTGTTGCTTGTTAAAATTCAGTGACTGCTTATTCAATGTGAAGCACCATGGAACAGTGGGTTTTCTCCATCTTGTGGGTAGGTCCTTAAGGAGGTAGTCATCCTGTTTTCTAGTGTGATTTGGTGGTCTGTAGCAGACACCAAATAGTACCCCGTCTTGTGCTTTATTTGTTATGACATTGATCTGTCAGCATGCAAGATCATTTTCTTCCAAGTTGTCAGTGACTTGGAAATCAGTAATCTCATTTTTGACAGTTTGCCATTCTCTTTCCCCTTCTGTGCACTCCAGTCTTCCTAAGCAGGTTATAACCATTGATTTTAACATTACAGTCATGCCAGACTTCTCACCAGACTTCAGCTGTACCAACTAGGTTGAATTTTTGTTCATAAATGAGCAATTCTAATTCCTTTTGTTTTATTACACCGGTTCCTGGTATAGATGTGTAGGCAATTAAAACATTCCTATCTTCATGTCCTTTTTTGTCTTGATCAATTTTATCAACATTTTGATACTGTGCTAAATAAGTGCTTGTTTGACCTGAGACAGAATAAAAAGATATGGTCTCCAGAACCAAAGTTTCTATTACTGTAGCTCCCATCTCTGGATCAATTTAAATGACTCAAACTATTGGACTCTTTTTGTGCAACAATCCCACATTCTAATACAGTGGTTACCAGATGAATGTATCATTCAAGATTTAAACTAGATCAAACAGTTCTGATCAGCTTTCATCAAAATGCAGGAGCAGATTGGGCTGCTCCAAACTCCACTCACAGATTTTAATAAGGTGCTCCCCCATCTCCGCAGTTTTAAAATGATTAATTTCCTCCTCTTTCTCCATTAATAATAGGCATTTATCATACACAGTTTTCTATAGTTGTCTAGTAAAGGAACCCTTCAGAGTTTAATGGTAAACAACTCGCTAACCAAAGAAGGTTATTTTAAAAATCTGATTTTGTTTTCCAAAATTGATTGCTTTATTATCAAAATCATCAAATCATGTATCCACTATCTTATTGTGTTTGCATAGTACCTAGCATAATGGCCCTTTTAGCTGCTACTTTAATATACAAATTAATAATAAAAAGAATGTCAAAACTATCTGGGCAAAAGAGGCAGGACGAACAAACCAGAGGCGGAAGCCACTGAGTGATCTGTGTTGGCAGTGAAATCCTTGGGGTAGCTTCAGTCAACTTTCTCATTCCTTTTCTAGTGGATAGCAAAGTAGCTACTATGGACTCCTCTCTTCCCCCTCCAACCTCTTTCTTTTTTTTTTCTTTTCTTCTTTCTGCTTTACAGATTATGTTTAATGAAGAACTTGGGAGTCCCTTTGTTATAGCCCACAGTGTTTCCTTTGTAAAGTCAGATGTGCATTCAGTAGCTGGGCTTCTGCTTCGAGTAGAAAAAGATGAACTGGATGCAAAAGGAAGTGGCTTCCATGTGTCCTTGGAATGGGTTACAATCACAGAAGTAGACCAAGAGGGTGAGTATTTTATGTTTATATTCTTGGCAGATATTTTGAAAAGCTGAAACCTCACTATTTTAAAAAATTATTGTATATGTTTAGTCATTTCACAATTCTAGTTATTTTAATTACGTTTTTCAAAACTTTAACTCAGTTTTCTATCTTGATTTTTTTTTTTTTTTTCCAATTTGAGTTGGGAGTGGGGAATGTGAACCTATAATTGCTAAATATCTCTGAGGCCAATTAACGGCTAAACAAGACAAATGCTCATATGATGTGGGTGAGAAGAACAGGTTAGTGCAGTAGCACTTCACATGTGGAGATATAAAATGCAGACTCCCAGAGTGGTCCCAAATAAAAATGAGTTAGGTCTTCTCACCTTAGTTTTAGCAAACCATTGTTCCAATCTCCAAACCACTGAACAATTGGGTACTATTTTCAGCCTCTGGTTAAGAGGCTTGGAACTTGAATGGTAAAGGGATTTACAAATTAGGATTAGAAAATAAATATAATGGGACATAGTATAGGTATACAAATCAATGGTGTATATAGAGAGAATATTGAATGCTCTTTAATCTTTTCTATAATAAAAAGAACAAGGAGACATTTAATTAATCTGACAGTGATTTTTGTATACAGTGATTAAACTGTGGAACTCATTGAGTTTAGTAAAATCCAGCAAATTTAGCCAAGAGTTTAGTAAAATCCAACAAAGTATATAAGTATAGATATATATGGCAAGATAGCTAGATGAATGAGTTAATATAAACATCCATAGTTGCATTAAATAGAATAACTTTTATAAGGACTCTAAGACCCCATGTTTCAGAATATAAAACGACCAGTAACTGATTAGGGGTAGGGGAGAGTGCATTTTTGAAGTTTTACTAATTTAATTAATCCTGGTTTGTAACTAAAGTATAGAGCAGCTAATTTACTTTTTTCTGTCATCTTGGTTCTCTGTCCCCCTCTCTCTCCGTCTTAACAAGTTAACTCTTCTTTCTCCTCTCTTCTCTCTCTCCCCCGCCCCCTTTTCTCCCAGATCAAATTTCTAAGGGTCCATTGCAGCCTAAATAGCATCTCAGTGCCTTCTGGTCCATAATAGACTTTAGACCTCTTGGATGCAGAAGATATGAGTTAACAAGACTGGACTAGTTGATTCTGCTCAACTCTGTTACCATATATAGTATCCTAGTTCTCAGGGAATTAGACTCCATTGAACATGCTTATGAGGTCTCTAAATGTTTTAATATTGGAGCAGACTCTTTTCTAGATGACTTGTCAGTTAAGAGTGAAATAAATGGCCTGAAGATGTAATAATAATAAAAAAAAAAATCTAGGTATTGTTGAGGAGGATTCTCCATCTCCTCATTCCTTACCACTATGCTGAAGCACTCTAAAGATTAGGATGAAGGGCCCATGCAGCAATTCAGTGGTTGCAGGAGAGGAGCTTTTTGAATTTATAAAGAAGTATCTTAGATGATTCACCTCTCCAGTAAGTCTCAGCTGGGCACTGTGGGAGGATTATTCCAGCCAAGATCTACATTAAATCCTGTTTGCGTCACAGCAGTGGGAGGTGGGGATTTTAAAGGGAGTTGAGAATCTGCAATTTAGAGCATGAGATTATGGAAATGACTATTATGACCTCCCCTCCTCCTGGATGAGTATAACCTGCATTGGGGGTGTTGTCTTTTTTTTTTTTTTTTTTTTTTTGTTGCTTCTTATGCTGAAATTTCTTTTGGCTAGATAGGCCTACTTCAGAGATAGGATTTAGGGCTTATAAAGAAAGCTGGCTATTATTTTCAGCTGAATTTAGCTCTGATGTTGTATTGTTTATCTGTTTCAGTTGATTATACTTTTGGTTTTGTTTCCTCTTCCTTGTACTATCTTTATTTCTAGTTTAACTTCAATTTTTGTTTCTAATTTTTACAAAAATGCTTTGAGGTCCTCTGATAAGTTGATACAGAAGTGTAAAGATTTATTCATTCCATATGTTCTAGTTAAATGACTTTTAAATTTCTTTGTATTGGCTTCTGTTTTTATTTGTACTTTTTTGGGGGTAAAGATCTTCCTTGCCCCCTCTCTTTCCTACTTACTTTAAAGTACAGCTTTAAGGAATAAAGGGAGTAATGCATACTTGTATATATCCCCTGTATTCCCATCTGTGTGATTAACTGAGCATAACTCTGTGCTCATTCTAGTTTACATTTAGTGAGAGTATAAGAAATCATCTACTCATAAAGAGGAGTTTTTCCACTATGCTGAAAACTCCACCAGTGTTAGCAGGAAAGTGCAGTGTTACCGTACTATGTTACCTACCAGCATTGACATTTAAGATGGCACATCTGCTTTAAGGCAATCTATGTAAGCAGAAGGAGCCAATTCTATTGTACTGAGCTTTAGAAGCTTTTGTACTATATTCTTTATTAAAGGTTGAGAGTCTTCAGTTTTCTCCATGGCCATTTTAAAGAACTAATGTGTAGAGAGTCTGCATCTTGATGCAACAAGATATGTCCACACAATCCTCTCCTAATCGCCTAATGCAAGGCCCTGGACTAAGGGCATGGCTACACTTGCAGATGTAGAGCGCTTTGAGTTAAACCAGCCTTTGTAGAGCGCAGTAGGGAAAGCGCTGTAGTCTGTCCACACTGACAGCTGACAGCGCACTGGCGTGGCCACATTAGCAGCTCTTGCAATGGCCACAGAGAGCAGTGCATTGTGGTAGCTATCCCAGCATGCAAGTGGCTGGAACATGCTTTTCAAATGGGGTGTGTGTGGAGTGTGACAGGGAGTGTGTTGTGTGTATGTGGGGGGGGAGAGAGTGGGTTTTGAGGGGCTGAGAGCATGTCAGCATGCTGTCTTGTAAGTTCAGACAGCAGCAGACCTCCCTCGCGCCGCTCTCACAGCATTCCACAGTAATGGTTGCTTTGTCTCGCAGCAGATAAGCATGCCGGCTGTCAAAGGGCACATCCAAAACAATGACAAGAGTGGCCACTTGACTTAATTATGGTATTATGGGACGTTTCCGGATGCTGATCAGAGCGCAGTAATGCAACACTTCGTTCACACTGATGCTGGGGCACTCCAGCGGGGGCGCATCAAAAGTTATTCTACTCGCCGAGGTGGAGTACTAGGAGCGCTCCAGCCGTGGAGTCAGAGCGCTCTACGTGCCTTGCCAATGTGAACGGGTAGTGAGCTAGTGTGCCTGGGGCTCCTTTAGTGCGCTGTAACTCGCAAGTGTAGCCAAGCTCTAAATTGAAACGCAGATGGACTTTAATGAAGTTACAGATTCATGGTGTGTGAAATTCACACCTTCTCACGCGCAGCCAGAGTAACTGGCTTTGTGCATGGATTGGGGTGAATAATCCACCATACAGCTGTTGGGGAGATCGCCAACAGTGTCTTTCCATATGCCCCTGTTTAGTATGGGACTCCCCCTAGGGGTAGGTCTGTAGCCTATATACCCTTAACCTCAGTACCCTTAACATCAACCTGTTTGGGGCTATCATGGAGCCCAATTGTGGAGGGAACCTGAGTGTCCACGCTTCCTAAATTAGATTTTGCGTAGTGTACAGAATAAGTGGTAAAGGGAGCCTTGCTTGCTCTTCCACAAAGGGTGACTTCTGGATAGTACTTGTGCATATGATTTTATTTATTTATTTATTTTATTTTTTTATTTTTTGCATGGTGATTAGCGTCACATTACTAAATTTGTCCTGAGGTGACCAAGAGTAGCATTAGTGTTAATAATGCTGCTTCATATTTTCCCTTCATCTGTTTCCCGTCTGTCGAATCTCTTCCCTTCCCTTCTGGCACCTACTGTCCTCACACCCAATTTATTTTCTGTATCCTCCCTGTGTCTACCTCCAATTAATCCATGCACTGAGGACATGAGAAGGAGGCGCTCTAGACCTTTTGAGTTCTAGCCCCTGCCCATTAAGTTCCTTGGCGACTTCATGCTGCAGCATGTGAACAAGAGTGTGGAGAATAGCTTCATCCTGTTAATCAGTGATTTTGGAGCTCAGCGTGCTGTGCTGTGTGCGCTAGCTCTCCACTGAGTTGTTTCACTACCTTGTGGCCAGAGCTTTCACTGATAGCTTAGCAGGGGAGATCTCAGAATGCAGTTGATAATCTTGTAAGAAGTATTCATACAGCTATACAAAGAGACTGAAATTTAGGAGCATGGTTTAGAGCAGGGGTGGGCAAACTTTTTGGCCTGAGGGCCGCATCTGGGTATGGAAATTGTATGGCGGGCCATGAATGCTCATGAAATTGGGGGTTGGGATGTGGGAGGGAGTGAGGTCTCTGGCTGGAGGTGCGGAGACGTGGGTGGGGCTGGGGATGAGGGGTTTAGGATGCAGGAGGGTGGTCCAGGCTGGGACCGAGAGGTTTGGAGGGAGGGAGGGGGGTCCAGGGCTGGGGCAAGGGGGTTGGCACATGGGGGTGGGGAGGAGTGCAGGTTCCAGGAGGCGCTTACCTCAAGCATCTCTCGGAAGCAGTGGCATGTCCCCCCTCTGGCTTCTACGTGGAGGTGCAGCGCCAGTGGTCAGTGGAAGCTGCAGAGCCAGCACTTGGGGCGGGGGCAGCATGCGGAGTCCCCTAGCTGGAGCCAGAGGGGGGACATGCCACTGCTTCCGGGAGCCACGTGGAGCCACGGCACGAACGGAGCGGGGCAAGCCTCCGACCCCGCTCTCCAGCTGGAGCTCGAGGGCCAGATTAAAAGGTCTGACAGGTCGCCATAGTTTGCCCACCTTTGGTTTAGAGGGAACACTGATCTTCACCCCAGTATTCTATGCTGCTTTCATATGTGGATTTTCTTTCCATTAATAAGTTTGGTGTATGTAAAAAGAGCAAAATATTAGAGCTGAAGTCAACTATGGAAATCCAAAATGATAATCTTACTCTAACTTTATGTACACCACTAGAAATATATGGAAAAATATTTTTGCTTAGATAATACTTTATGGAATTGGAATAATTCATTTTACCAGGAAATAACATAGTTGTTATAATAAAAT